TTACTCCTTTTTACATTTTGATTAGAACGAATGTTTCTCAGCGCCTCTCCACTGCAGGATACGTTCCCTCGGAGCAGCCTTGGTGCCACGGCAGAGGCAGCGCAGGACGACGGCAGGGCAGAGCCCAGCCCTGCTCCCGCAGGCCCTCCGGCTTTGGGGGGGGGGAAGAGCCCTGCTCGCACCCAGCGCCAAACCTGCAGCCTTGCAAAGTGCTCTCAGCTCTGCTCGAGGCTGCCAACGCACCTCGAAAAGAGGAGCCGAGTGTCTTGGAGAAGAAACCAAGCTGAAAGCTGCTTTGAAAGAGCTGCCTGGGACACCTTCGTGATCAAGCTCCTGTCCTTGCCTATGGGGAACCTGTCCTTTCTCTTCGGCGCCCAGGAATAACGAGGGCCATCTCAAAGCAAACAGTACCAGAAAGCTCTGTTAGAGATTTTAAGATTTGCCATGCTAGATCCACGACCTACAATTATTTTAACCATGCAGCCTGGTGAACAAACTAACCTCTCAACTTCAGCCCAATTACAGCTTAATGTTGTTAGAATTTAAAAGATACCTTTCTCCCTCAACTAGTTTATCTCACTGTTTGCCTCCAAATCTTTAGATTATGCACTGGAGCTGAGAAAGGAAAGGCTACTTGTTAACTCATTGACTCTAGATGTTCAAGGGTCTACCACAGCGTTAGCCAGAAGTCAGTAAGCAAAGGATAATCACGTTATACAGACACAGGGCTTGGGAGAACCCTGACCCCGCTTTATTCTCCAGGACTTAAACTCAGCTATATATATTTTTATATACACTCAAAAGACAAGGTCAGGCTCACCTTCCCTCTCTCTAGTGCATGCACTGGTGGCTTGCTGGAAGCATTAACCAAGACTCACAAATATCTTTCCTCCTGCTCCGGTCAGATTTAATTCCCTGCCACTAAAAGGAGATGTAGTTAAAACTGTTCGGCAAGCAGAAGAAAAATCCAAGACAGGAGTGTGGCAGCACATTAGTATGTCTATCAAATCCTCAAACAGGTCATTTGTGGCACAGCACCCAATAGCAAGAGGTAGTTTACAGCTGGCCAAGGAAATGGAAAGGAGCTCTGGTGGGAGGGAGGCTGGTCTTTTTGCAGCGCTAGGCAGGTCGCTGAAGGTGGTAGTTCACAGACCAGCACCGTTCCCCGTCCCAGATAACTAACATTTACAAATGCATGTACAGAAGGAAAAGGACGCATTGTTAAAACCAGGCAGCAGTTGTTATTTTTGCACATTCAAACACGCGGCACACCTTTGGAATAAACGAAGGTCCTTGCCACCAAGGAACTGTCAGGCCAACGCACGGGGTAAAGTGCGAGGATGACGATGAGCGCAACAGCGGGAGGATTAGAAACGTGCAAGTCTGCAGCATGCGACTAAAAATTACATGGAACTGATTTTCTGCTACGGTGCCCGGCAGAGCGAGGTTGAAATCAATAGGTCTGCGCTTATTTACACAAGCAGGGCATCATTGCTCAGTGTAACTGCTTAGGAGCTTTGCTACTACTTATTATCGGACAACCTGTCTTAATGCAACTTTGCATAAATTAACTCATGCATAACTTGAAAGTTACGATTAGCAGTGTTTTTCTTTCAGCGCGGATCAGCCCACCATTTTATTCACTGTTGGTCTCACCTCTTCACCTCGGTAACTGCTTTCTTGCTTTTGGGCATAGGAATAGTTCCAAAATTGCTGTTCTTTGTTCAAAAAAAAAAAAAATACTGCTATTGTAACAGAAGCTAAATTAAAAGACTCAGGGCATGAACAAAGGCAGACTGTGAGTGGCAAAAGGTCAACTAAAAAGAGGGAGATTTGTTACTTTTCCCTCCCAAGAGGATTAAGAAAAACGTACAAGGTTTAAAAATTGTTCCCAACTTTTTCTCCAGTATATGAGAACGCGAAAAACATTCAAATTCCTCTCAGATGGCTCCTCGCAAGGGAGAGCCTAATGTAACATTGCAGAGTTTTGCATTGCTCACATTAAGATACCCGCGAGGTCACTGCCACCTCTCTGGAGCACATCTGTCCCACAAATTATTATTTCTTCCTGGCAGCTTTGCAGTGCAGGTAAAGACTGTTTGAGGTCTCACCGGGAAAAACATAGCTGGTAAAAGTGACTGGCATCTTTGTTATCTCAGCAGAGAAGACTAAGAGGGCTGAAGGCCACCTTCCCTCGACATCCTCCACCTGGTCCTTCTCAGATGGGGGGGTGGGGAGGGGACATTTGTCTTGGGGTGGGAAGGGGACATTTGTCTTGCACACAAATAAAAGGTTCTCATCTCCTGGACACATTCACTTCTTAAAGAAGTAGAGAGAAGAAAGAGCGTGTTCATAAATCCACAGTTACATGCTCCAGAGACCTTCACCTTCCTCATCTGCATGGCGTCCACCAGAGGGGAAGGTCCGTGGGGCAGGGTCCTTATTCGCCTCACGGCATGTAAAAACACGTAAGAGAAAGCAATGCTTGGGTACTATCAGCTGTCCTGAGAATGGCACAAACAAGGTTTCCCTTCTCAACCCTACATCCCTATTGGCCGCAAAAACAACAAAACAGCCAAAAAAGGAAATAAAGAGAAGCTTCCCGTGCCAAACAAAAACTTCCCACAAACCGAGTTTTTGTCCCCGACAAGCGAGATCCCACGAAGCTACCAGAAACGTTATCGCTGGCGCCGGGCACGCAGAGGGCCAGGTATTACAGTGACCAGAGGCAACACCGAACCCGCCAGGGCTGCGCCCAACTGCGGACAAGGTGTCACACCCCAGTGCAAAGGACACAGCGTGTCATCCTCACCCGTTCGCGACTCTCCAGCCTTCGGGGTGAGATACGTCGCGTGAAGCAAAAAGATAACAGGATTGTCCCTGAACTAAAAAAAAAAAAAAAATTAACTACACAAAAAAACAAACCGAAAAAACCACACACCCAAGAAAACCATCTATGCGTTAGAAGCCACGGGTTTGAAGATGTCATTGCTGACATCAATATTGACGTTTTAAGCATCGAGAAATAAAACGTCCTGCTTAGCAGCGACCCCCCCCCCCGCCCCCCGCCGCCACCCAAATCAGCAACCGCTTTCCGTTAGCAATGAAACAACACATTAAGAAATAGAAGGTGTCGGTTCAAGAGCCCCGAACGCCCCGTCGAGGGCGCGGGGACAGCGGTAAACGCGGCCCCGCAGGCAGCGCTAGCCCCAGCCAAGTGGGACGAGCCCCAGAGCAGAGTGAAATTTCAAGGCACGAAGTTTAACTGTGAGATAAGGGACCGTAATCAAATTACAACACAAATAGGTCCATTCATCCGTAAGCGTCATTGGAGAGAGCAGATTGAAATACAGTCCGGGATAAAACAATCTAAGAAATAAAAAGCAAATTTATTGTCTATTTATTATTTTCCTGCTGCCAAAGGAAATCTGCCCGGATTTGCCCAGGATCGCATTTTAGCGCTAAGACACGGTGGGGGGGGAACTGAGATACTAATTATCAAGCTGGAAAAACAAGAAGAGTTTGCCTTATATTATTTACATTCCCATTCCTCTTTCTGAACAGACCCACAAAGTCAACAAGCCCAGCGAAGGCTCAGCAGACGCATTTGCAATTCAAGTTGTTTTGCTCCGAAAGGCCTAGGCAGATCGCATCCATCCCATCAAGCGGCCAGAGCCAGCCTTCCCCCCCCCCAACTCCTTTCTCCCTAAAAATGTCTTTACGCTGCCTTCCACTATTATTATTATTATACCACAACCCATGTTACTCAACGGCACAATTTTTAGAAAGAGCACCGAGCGCAACGCTCCCCCCGCCCCCCCATGCTGGAAAAGCACCTTTTTAACACAAACACGCGTTTAGGCGATTTGCTTTTTTTTTTTTTTTTTTTTAAATAAAGGATTGAAAGAAAAACCCCGGGGGGGGGGGG